TGCAGTTCACTTTTATAAAACTTATTTCATATTTAAGAGCTCTACGTAATGATTCTTTAGGCTTTAAGCACGATTTCTATTTTTTTTTAAAGAAACTGAAACAATTTAAAGTGCATTTCACTAGAGTCTTGGGGAAAAAAATCAAAAGAGTCCTACTGCAGAGACTTAACCTTATGTTGCCATTGTGAAATAATAGAGAACCCACAAAGGCACTTGACCTGCCTTCAAGTAAAAAACAAAAACAAAAAACCTTGTTAAAGAATTGCTTTTCCTCAGTTAACCCTTATTTTCTTTAGTTTAGAAAACTTCAGTTGATCTGTGAATTACAAATGAATTGTATACTCCTTTATTAAAAGTATTTTTATTCTGCTGAAGAAAATATACTTATCACTTGCCATTGTGTATTATATATTTGCTGAGCAAATACACTCACATATACTTGTATGGATGCATATATGATATATACATATATAGACCCATACATATGGCTCTTTCAAAACTGTATGCATATGTACATTTATCCATCCATCCATCCATATATGCATATATATGTGTGTGTATGTATATATATATAATATATGTATGTATATATATTATATATGTATATATGTAAAAATTTGGATTTTTATATATATTGTAGGGGCATGTTTAATGAATGAAAGGAATCCCTTTGTATATATATTCATATACTGAAACAGACTATGATCTTATCAATGTGAGTAACCCTTCCAGTGATTCAGGTAATAAACCATCCACTCCTACCCATAATATTCTGTGTGACTCTTGTTCATGTTCTCCAGTAGGTTTACTACAGAAAGTCCTGCTGAGGGTGGGGAAGGTATGTGGTTCCTTACTCTATTATCATAAAATATCAGTGGAACATTCAGGCTGTTCATGTTATCTCCAACTCTCACCATGTAACTGGTTCACTTTTTCATATCTTACATGCACGCACACACACACACACACACTATTTGTACAAGACCTGTTATTCCATTGCTACAGTGAACTCTAACTGAGAAAACTCCCTCTTCCAATGTAGCAGCTGCTCTGCAAGTTGTAGTTTAGATAGTTGCCTGGAGAACTGATGTGTTGTGACTTTTTCAGAGGATGTGCACCAGTGAAAGGATCTGAACCAGGTCTTTCTCCCTTGAAAGCTGAATCTCTGTCCAGTACACCATATTGCCTTTCTAACTAAATGGATAGATGACAGATAGCTAGCTAGCTACCTAGATGGATGGATGATATTGCCATACATAAAAATATGAACATATAATACACTTGTTTGTATACTGTTTTGAAGTCATGGATTTATTAAAGCATTTTTGACAATATAAAGAATCACCTGGGAGTTCTTTCCCATTTAAAAAAAAATGTATGACATTTAGTTCTAAAGATGATAGGACAATATGTCATTTTTTTTTTGCTTCCGTATATTTGGGAAAACATGTTAAATACTAACCACTGCCCAAATCAAGAAAATGAGAATTGTATTGTATATTTTATTGTTTGGTAAAAAGAAACACTGTTTCTGAGGCTTTGCTTGGAGTTGGTATAATATAATGGACCATAGCAAGTGGCAAATATTCATTCACATATATTCATGGACACACATACCAGAAAAGACAAAAACGAAAACATGGAGAGCCGAGGTAAACATTTTGGTTTTTCCAGGTATTGTGCTACTCATGCCCCCAAGAACAATCCTCAGAATTTCAGTTTGAATATGTTTCTGTGTTCAGAGTATTAGGGAGTTTGAAAAAGAATTTAGGTAGAAACAAGTATTTCTGCCTTGAGCAGAGCATATTTAAGATACTATAATCTACCTCAACATAAAGTGTTATTATGATATATCATCCTGTTACGGAAATGCCTCTCTTGTCATAAAATATGAGTTAATCCATCAGTAGTTAAATCTTATATCTTGGATGAACATCACAGATGTAAACAAAGAGAACCCGGAATTGAATGGTAGGCAGAGAATAGGATATTGCCTGTTGGAAAGCATATGATGCTTTCAGTGATATGAAGTTGCTCCTTGACATAAAAAAGACCAATTTTTCAATACCAGTATCCTTGTAGGGGAACTATGTAATTGCATATCAAGTAATAATGTAACCTCTGAAAAATTAGAATTGTAGATAATAAAAAGGACAGTAGGATAGTATTGTTGGTCTGAGTAGGCTGTCACAGATTACTAGTGATGAGATGTTCAAGAAACAGCATAAGAAATATCCAGAAAACGTATGACTAGTAAAGGGAGAGGTAGGGAGTGAAGGTGGCACTTGCAAGAAGCAGGAGGGGGAATACATGACTATTTCATGTGCTTGAGAAAATGTAAAAATCCAAACAACAACAAAAACAAAAACAGAGTATGGCTTCCACGACTTCGGGAACTCTTCTATAGAGGATTTATTGGAGAACATGGATAAGTATCATATAGGACTTTTGAGTGAAAGAAGGCATGGATAGGAAGGTAATCTTTCCTATTTGCAGGAGTACCCACAATAATAGGAAAATACTGAGTAAAAGATTTGAGTACTGAAGTGTTCACATTTAAAAGATCACTTCAGTATTTTCTTTGTCACTCCTTGTACCCCCAACTCTCCCAGGGTCTGTCTGGTTTTTCATCTCCCACAGAGGATGGAAGTGGGTATAGGGGCAAAATGGGCTCAGTGTAAGTGTTCTCCTTTCTGGGCATTTTCTGGGCCAATCAACTGAAGGTGACCCTGTGGAGTGTACTAATCACCATTAGTTTCTGGAGGGCTCCAAAGGATCAGCTCTCAATTTTGCTATTTCAGGCACTTTCACAATGGCTTTATTAGCCATTATTTTGATCTGGACTTCAGCCTGAGCTGTTTCATCTGATGTACTTGACCTGTCCTACTGGGTCTTTTCAAAGTAGGGTTTGGTTTCTGCTATGTCTATCACATTCAGGGACCCAGCATCTTCTGATAACAACTACTCAAAGGAATCTGCATTGCTCATGTGGTATTTAGTCCTTTCTTGTTTTCAGAAAACAGTGTCCACACCTGACTCCACCACTTGGAGGATGAAAAGTGGGCATCCAGGACCCAAAAGGGCCTTCTCTGAATTGTACATCTACATTCTAAACATTGACTTCATTGAAATACACTAGTGTGGGAAAAAGGAAGGTGAATGATATCTGGGTCAGGGCCAGCTCCTCATAGGTTTGAGCCAGAGGTGAGGATTGAATTTGGCAGAACAGAGTGATGGAGAGCATGGTGGGGGCACCAAAATTTTTGTGTCTTTATTGTGTCACTGTTGATGTTGCTTTTTCTTTATCTATTTTGTTACCGAAGTTAAATTGAAAATTTCTTTTATAAGAAAGATAGTAGTTTTCCATTCCTTTATCTCATATTTTGTTTTTTAATTAATATTGCTTTCTGTCATCTACTTTTTCATTTTTCCTCTTTCCTTATTTTTCTTCTCCTTTCACTTTCTCCCTCCTAGACCCCAATCACTGGTTTCATTGTAAAACCAAAAGCCCATTCAGTTTCCCAAAGTTCTGACATTCCTGGTGTGGAGCCTTCCTCTACCAATGCAGAGAGGGAATTCATCTCTAACTTATAATTACAGGTAGTTATACAGTCATCTTTTGTGTATGATTAATATATTGATACGCAATTATCTTTAGAAAATGGTGAAGATGCTATTCAACATTTATAGTTAAATGATAATGCATAGTCACACTGAATAGTTGTGGTGTGGCCAAAGTTAGAAGAGATGAGAAAAATAGACATAAAAGAATTCAGATAATCTCAGATAGTGTTTACCGAGCTAACATGGCCACAGAACACTTTGGAGTTTGAAATATATTGACAGAGCCTATAAATGCTGGTGCGTAAGAAACCTAAGAAGAAAATAGGATTGAAGCTAAATAAAAGAAATTCAGTCTGTTTTGTGCCATAAAATTTTAAAAGAACCACATAATAAATATTTTGGTGTATACATGATTCCTTAATTAATATTTTGGGAAAATAGCACCAACATAAATTTTTTATTGCATTAACTCTTTAAACTGTATGAAACACTATTTCTGAGGAACTCAGCTTGGAAAATATTGGTATAAAACATTGTTTAAATATTTGTTTTCATATGAAAACTTTTATTTTGTTGGGACAGAACATGGATATATTCTATTTTATATTGATTGCCTTATATTTCCTTTTAGGATAAATCACTGAATTTGATAAGGCATGAGATGATGTGAGAGACATTTTGAATAGGTATTAGAAATTTTATTCTTAAATTGTTAGATGTAATAAAGTAGCTTCTTTTGGTCCTTGTCCCACCATTTAGGACTTGTCCTACCATATTTACTTCCTTTTAAGAACAGAAAATCATATTCACTTATATTATTTGTATATAAAGGAGAATTATGTATGGACCAGGAATGTTATTTATACTAAAACTTATCACTCTTCTATTCGTATGTATGGAATATATAGTGTGTATTCATATATATTGTTTTTATGAAGTCTTGTATTGTAACTGCAACTTGGACACCACTCATATGGATATCACCCCCCCCACACACACACACACACTCACACACACTCATACACAGCTGTTCTAGTCCTTGATCCAGAGTTCTGAAAATTCTGTCTTAAACTAACCATTCTTCCATCACCTAAAATGAGACCTCTTGCCTGGATTACTGAAGTTGCCTCCTAATTTTTTTTCCTTTTTTCTATCTTTCCTCTGCAATCCATCATCCACATGGCCATCAAAATAATATTCCTAAGACACAGCTATATCCATATCCCTCCTTTGCATAAGATATTTTTATTGATCCCTTACTGCCTGTAGGATAAAATGCAGCTAGGATTTTAAAGACCTTCATAGTCTGACTTCAGTCTACATTTCCAGACTTACTGCACATTACTATGCATAATATTCCCAATTGTCTAGCCAGTCTGACCTTATTTCTCTCTGAATTTGGCATTGCTTTTTCTGGTTTCTTTACCTTTGCACAGGCTGTCCTGCATGACTGGAGAATATGCTCTCCTCACATCTGTCTCTTAGCATCTCTAGTGTCCTTCAAGACACAACTCAGGAGCTATCAACTGTAAGGAAATCCTTACTTATCCCCCCTAGATCTCACTTCAAATTGCAAGTAAGTTTCTTGAAGGTAGGTTTTTTTGTGTTTGTATCCCTGGAACTTACCATCATGCCTTGCACATAACAGGTTCATAATAAATGTGTAATTTCAATTCAAATAAATTGAAAGCAGTTTCTTTTATTTTTAAAATAAGTCGTATCAATAAGAAAGTCCAATCACTTTTTGAGAAATAAGAAAGAACTACATGTTTATAGAATTTGAGTAAATGCTATTGTATAAAATTAATGCATGTTTACTTCAAAACATTTGTCAATATATAAAAAATAAATGGGAAAGTATTCTGGCAATATTATTTTTTCCTCTAATTTACTTTGCTATCCTCTTCATTTAATTCAAAGCTTACCTAAAATTCCAAGATCATTCCTTTTTGCTTTCATTGCAAATAGTAATAGTCTCTTTGGTATTTGGAATACTTTCTAGTTTTAGTTTTTTTTTTTTTTTAAGTCAGTGAAACTCCATTTACTTAACTGTACTTTGACTGAATGTCCTAATAAATATTCAGGTTAGAAAGATAGCTACCTTGCTTCCAAAAGACAGCTTTGAGTACAGGAATTTAGCTGCTCACTATCAATACTTATTACCTTTGCAAAAACCATGTTATCACAACATATAAGTATTTGAGTGTATTATACCTTTGCCTGTCTCTGTTTTATCCTGTGAAAAACACACCAGACAGAATAGACTACCATTAACAAGAATTTACTCACTGGTTCAAAGCTTAACTCATATTAATTCAATTCACGAAACATTTGTGTAAGGGAAATGGAAGAGAATAAGCATTTATATAACACCTATTATGTGCCAGGCATTGAGCTAGGTGCTTTCCAAATATCTCATTTGACTCTCACAATAACTCCAGGGTAGGTGAAATTATTATTCCCATTTTACTGTGAGGAAACTGAAACAAATAGGTTAAATCATTTGCCTGGGTCACACAGCTAATAAATATCTGGGGCTAGATTTAAATTCAGTTCTCCAGGCCCAGCACTTTAATTTACTCTGCCACCTAGGTGCTCCCACTTAATGTGATTAAATTAAGGGAAAAACAATGATAATATAAAACACACAGACCCTGCCCTCAAGAAGCTTAGGATCAGGAAGAGCACAAAATCATATACATAAACAAATATGATACAAGGCAGAATGTGATGAGCATTGGGGTTAGTATTCTGTTCCAACAAAGAAGCCTATGAAGTACCTAACTTTACCCTAACTCACTCTGGGGGAAATGAAAAGAGTATTATTGTTTCTCCATCTGTTAATGGCCCTGGATGTTCCCTATAATACTATGAAACTAACATGATTCACCCTGCTGTGGAGGTAGTATAAGAATCTGTAGATTTGAATAGGAATAAGTATATAGGTGGGGTAGCACAGGGGAACTTTTTATTTAGGGATTAGGCTAGGAGGATTTGTTTTCCTCTTCCTCTCCTTTTTTTTAATTAAGAAAAAGTCCAAATATATTAACCCTTGATTTCTCATTAGAATGAAAATCCATCCAAGTAGAAGACATGTCATTGTCTCTCTATATAAATACATAAAATTTGGATTTGGTTATGTGTGTACACACATACTTATCCCCTTTTGGTAGAATAATAGGAGGCTCTTTCTTTAATTTCACTGATGTTGGGAATTGTAGGTATGGAAACTCCTTCAGTTGATTCATATGAGAAATTTGAGAGTTGATTTCAGTTTAGTGATCTCTCAGGGTTGTGCCACTAACATGTATCAGAAGGAGTCAAACCTTGATCTTCCTGTCTCTGTGATTGTATGTGTGTATAAATGGATATATATGCAGACAGATAATGTGCATATGTGTCTGTGTGTGTACACATGTGTATCTAGGGGTTTGTATATGTATATGTACACAAATATATCCTGTATGATAGGCCATATGCTATCTATTATACTGCACAAATGCATGAATGTGTCCATGTAGATAGATGCAGTCTATACACCTCCACAATGTATGTATATATACATATGCATATGTGATTGACTATATTGAAAATCCTTAATAGGAGAAACAAAGACTTTTTTCAAAGGACAAGGTACTCCCTTCCTGTGCACTAAAAATTGTTATCAAAATAATAAGGCCAATTTACCCCTTACCAGCACCTTAATATGATTGAAAAATGCAAATCTAACAAATATTGAGGAAACCATCTGGAAAGTGTGTTGTGTTGACAGACAATGCATTTTTAGTGATCTAATTTACTGCTGTTCAGCTTTAGTGACCTTTGGAAAGACTAAAATAAAAACATTATTCTCTGTGGCTTGAATCATTTCAGCTTCTTCAGCTATTATACTTTACAACATAAACACTTGAAAACAAAGAAGCCCAGTGGGTATACAAGGTTGAAGAAATTTCTAATAATTCTGCACAGATTGCCATAATTCATGTTGTACCAAGGTACACAAGTATTCAAGTAGTTTATTTTCCCTGAGCCACTTCTTTATATATCCAAATAGATGTTAAATTTTTGGTATGTTTGGTTTTGTTATTGATCTATCATTTCATTGGTGTGGAATTTCCCTCCATTAATCATATGAGGAAAGGTCTCTAACCTACAGTCTTAGAGAGGCATCTGGGCTTGGATAAGTTAAGTGATTTGTTCACGGTCATATAGGCAGGATTTGTAAGAAACAGGAGCTATACCCAAGTTTTCTGGCACCAATCCCTGGCCCTCTCTCCATGACTATAATACTGTATTCCCTAATCTCTGAACACAATTTGACAAATATTAATATATCACAATTTTCCCACTTCATATATTATAGACAAACTATATTTTATGTTCACGAAAAATCCCTGGACTTAAAAATACATAGCAACTTCGATTCAGAAGGCACCTTTGGCACTTGCTAATTGGGTTATAAGAGGAAATGCACATAGAATTTCTAAAACTTAATTTCCCCAACTTTAAAATGGGGATAACACTACCCAAACTACTTAGTTTATCATGTTGTGAGAAATAGAAAAGATCAGGCTTGTAAAGTGCTTTGTAAATGTTAAAGAGCTCAGTAAATGGCTGTTATGGTTATTATTGCTCTTTTTCAGAAGCTTAGGAAATTTTTTCCCACCTTCAACCCCAAATGGTCACTGATAAAAGTAAGGGGGATATTCAATAAATCTGAATTGTTTCAATTGGCCATGAAAATGTATTCTTCAAAGAGCAAATTTGTGCTTGTTTCTGTACAAGGTATGTAACTATGTATTTATGTATGTGTGCATGTTGACGTCCTGGAGCAGTGGGTTAGCAGAAGTGGCAAGTGCTTATAAATAAGAAAACCAACAGGCACTTGCGTTAATCTGACTTCTAGTGCTATTAGGTCTATCAGTACATTCATTGCAGTCTCTTCCTAACTGTCACAAACACCTTAAGTTTTTCTTGTCCTATGACTCATGCCATTAGGTCAGTGCCAGAAAAGAAGTCACAGCTTCACGTTATCACTTCGAAAAACATGGAGACGAAAAGAAAAAAAAAGATGACAGCTTTCCACAGCATGCCAAGATGATTAAAGCTTGCATGTTTAGGATAACTAAGTATAGATATTTGGACAGCTTTTTTCAAAAGCAGATATGTACAATGAAAGGTCATCTCAAGAGTGTTGCAATTTCACCAGTGATTGTGTATGAGTGGTTAAACGATTTAACTATAGCAGTGATGTACAAAGACCCTGAAACACATACACACATACACAGACACACACACCCCCTAGTCTGCCTATTAGTTATCATCAGGTTTCTCCTATTTGACAAACGGCAAGGTAATAAGAAAGGGAAAAGACAATCAAGTCTGACAAATAACCCTAAAAGGGAATTTACTTATTCAGCTCAAATCTGTATCTCACTAGAAACAGAATATTTCAATGCTTCCCAAGTTTGGGCTGTTTCTTTCATTTATTTCTTAGTTCCAGAGCCCAGCTTTGATCTTCGCTATTTCTGTTTCTTGCGCACTATCATTGAAGACAAAGTTTACTAATGAAGTATTTTTACAACATCTTTGAAAGGCAGTTGCCTTTAACTGATGCTCATCTTTAAGGTTTTTTTCTTTTTTTTTAAGACTGTGGTATTTTTTAAAGTGGCAATGAAACTGTGTGAAGATAACATAGATAGTGTTGATAACATGAGGATTTTTTTTTCAGATATATGTGGATTATCCAAACATAGTTATCCAATCAACTATCAATCAACGAACAGACACTTTAAATACCGGTTATGTGCCAGGCATTGTACTCAGTCCTGGAGAAACAAAGAAAAAATTAGTTCAGCGCTTTTCCTCAAGAAGCTTATGTTGAATCATAGGTGCACATATAAACGTGTTCAGAATGCATGCAAAATATAGAATTGTGTAAAATAAATGTATACAAAATAAAAGTTTTGGGAGGGGGAGAATGAAGTCGTTTGTGAGATCAGAAAAGGCCTCAAATAGTTCTTCAGCTGTGTCTTAAAGGTAAAAAAAAAAAGATTAGAAAAGGAAAAGAGGAGTAAGAAATGTATACAAGGTGTGAGAGACAGCCAGTCATTGATAAGCATGTTAAACATGAGTGAGTCAGCTATCGGTCTTTTCAGTCTTCTTTCTGAGACCTCCTTCCAAGTTGATATCAAACCAATAATGCCTTCCCTTTTGGTCATTCAGCCAGTTTCCAAATTTACTTACATGGGAATCTACTTGCGTATCTAAACCTTTATTATCCAAATCTCAAATTAGATCATAAAACCATGTGAACTACACAGTGAGCTTAAAAAGAAATAATTTTAATGGTTTCTATTTATAGAAATAGAGCATGTAGGAGTTGGGAGATAGATTTGCTATTCATCTGCCCCTGTGTGCAATGCAGTGTTTCCTAAACTATCAGGACAGATGAGCTCCATAGAAAAAGGAGGAGACAGTAATAAATATATTAAAAGTTTGAAGTGTTCATTTAGGAAAATAACTGAAAAATAATTCAAATAAAAATAACATTTTCATAAATTTAAGAAGCTGTCA